ACTCTCATAAAGCACGAGCGATCATTCCGTCGAATTGTCACACCCTTATCGCGCCATACAGAGGGAGTACACGAGCACGAGTGGGTGCCCTCCTGTCGTGCGATCCTTGTTTCGTCTTCTTGAACTGCACCGTACCAGGCTCACAGACTCTCCACCTCTGCAGATCCAGTGGCATTGCTCAACGGCCATGATGCGGGGACCGGGGTCTGGGCCAAGCCGTCAACGGTGCGGCCACCTGCTGCTTTGGGATTACATCGACTTCTTAGCTCTGCGACGCGCTGCAACCCCCGCCGCGGAGACTACGACGTCGTCATCGGCCGGCCATCTGCATCTTCCAGTTGTTAGCCAGCTTCCTCTTGCGAAGACGATTTTGTCCAGGGGGGGCGATGAAGATTTGCTTGCCCCCTTGGCCCACCACGACGATCCGGCGATACCCCTCACCCACCTTGCTTGCACGACCTTCCTTTAGTTAGGTGCCTCAGCGAGAGATGTGCTCCGTCGATGCCCCTGGTCCTGTACCAGTGCTGCCCCTGCAGTATGTTTCTCTCCGCAAGCTGCGAATCTCCTGCCATGTTGCGCCTTCCGCCCTGCTGCTGGATCACCGTCATGATGTCGATCCGGCTCAGGTTGCATCGGCGGTTGTGCACGGAAAGATAGATAGTACGGCACCGCCAGTTCGGGGGAGATAGAAAGGCGCAAATACCCCTCCCCTCGTCCTCGATAGATCGCTTTTCTGCCCACCTCGCTATCCCTCGTTAGCTTTCTTCTGGTGATTGTTCCTCCGCCGCGTCATGATGAAGTTCCTCGGAGCAGCCCTCGCGCTCTCGGGCCTGGCTGCCGCCGCCTCCGCCTCGGACCCCGTAGCCCGCGCCACTGTTCCCGAAGCCAAGGTCACCTATGACAACTACCACATCTACCGTATCCGCGCCGAGTCGCCGCGCGACATTGAAGACATCGAAGCCCGTCTAGCGTCGTTCCACTCAGTCCACTCGGCTGACGCCCTCGAGGTCGCCATCCCGCCGAACGAGGTCCGCTCGTTCGAGGGCATGGGCTTCGACTACACCCTCCTGACGCGCGACATGGGGAAGCAGATCCGTGACGAGGCCGCCCACCCTGTCACGTACCGCCGTTCTCTCGACCGCCGCGGCGAGCTGCCCGACCTGTCGTGGTTCGACAGCTACCACTCGTACGCCGACCACCTGGAGTACTGGGATGACCTGGTTGCGGCGTTCCCCGAGAACAGCGAAAAGTTCACGCTGGGGCCTTCGTATGAGGGGCGTGACATTCATGCCTTCCACCTCTGGGGCGGCGAGGGCAAGAAAGGCGACAAGCCTGTCATTGTGAGTTGCGAACTTGCGGATAAAAATGAGAGCAGAACTGACCTCGATGAAGCTCTGGCACGGTACTGTCCACGCCCGTGAGTGGATTAGCACCATGGTGAGTTGACCCTGTAGTGTGGAGAATAGGAGAGCACGCTGAATCGAAAGCCTGCATCATGAGGCGTAGAAGCTGCGTGCTGTGGCTGACTCTCGGAGGATACTGCATGTTCTCTTCACCGGCTTCCAGTGCTGATCTATTTGCAGGTTGTCGAGTATCTCACGTACCAGCTCATCGACGGATACAAGAACGGCGACAAGAACGTAACCTCTTTCTTCGATGACTACGAATTCTGGATTGTTCCCTTCCACAACCCCGACGGTATGACGTTTGCGATCTTCTCGGTTCTTCTTCGAGTCCAACTGACACATCCATGACAGGGTTCGCCTACACGCAAACGACCAACCGCCTGTGGCGCAAGAACCGCCAGCCGCGCCGCAACACGACCTGCATCGGCACCGACAACAACCGCAACTGGAACTACCAGTGGTACTTTGAGCCCGCCGAGGGCTCCGTCTCCCCCGACCCCTGCTCCGAGTCCTTCAAGGGCCGCTGCCCCGGCGACACGCCCGAGAACGTCGCCGTCTCGGCCCTCTCCCGCAAGCTCGCCGAGGCCCCCCACGGCATCCGCTCCTACATCGACTGGCACTCCTACTCGCAGCTCATCCTCACCCCCTGGGGCTGGTCCTGCGACGCCGCCGACCTGCCCGCGACGCTGCCGCGCATGCGCGAGGTCGGCCAGGGCACCGCCGCCGCCATCAAGGCCTCGAGCGGCCGCAACTACACCGTCGGTCCCGCCTGCGAGGTCCTCTACTTTTCGACGGGCACCGGACGTGATTTCCACCACGGCGCTGCCGATGCGAGCCACTCGTGGACGCTGGAGCTGCCGCCAGCGAACGCTCGTGATGGCGGCTTCATTCTGCCCCCTGCGCAGATCTGGCCTACTGTCAAAGAGCAGTGGGCTGGGCAGCTCTACCTGCTGAACGAGGTCCGCAAGGACTGAGCGAAATTCCTGATGGATGAGGATGGGTCGTTTTCCACCCCGAAGTAAGATATGCCAGCGGCTCTTGTCATAGCACAAACAGGGTTGATCTGTGTGAGAAAGCTGGGACATGAGTTCTGCAGATATTCTTATCAATGATGACAAACATTTTGGTCTACTTTAGGCTTCAGATCACATGATGAGGAACGCTTTATGAATATTTTATACAGCCTGGGAAGGGCTGCAGTTTGGGTTGACAGCTTAGATTTAGGCTTCATGCTAGATCGTGCACTGCATTCGTACCTGTCTGGTTTTCTGGTTTCTGCGCGGAGTGGGCGGCTTTGCTTGGCAAGTATGGCATGGCCCATCTTGTTCAGGTTATCCGGGACGGAGCGAAGACTGATAGGTTGATGTATTGCATGTTCTGTGAAGTCGATGAGGCATGTCAGTCGTTGTAAAGATCCACCTCCGCGAACAAAGTTGATGGAAAACCAATACAGCGGTATATCACGAGGGCCGGAGAATATATGTAAAGTACTCTTATATAAATACGTAGAAGGCTCATACGATGCCCGTATTACTGTCCGGCCACAGAGGGGCTCAGTGGCAGCACTCTCACACGGCCGCAAGCCCAACTCCTCGGAGCAATCCAATGGCATCAAAAGAATGTGATTTCGGTCGAGGAGTCCCGAATCAACTTACGTGGGCTTTTGAGGAAAAGCTTCGGATATAAGGCCTAGGAGCAAAAGGGTTAGTTCAAGGCTGTGTTATCAATCGAAGACATCGCGTCAGATCGATCAGTACCCGCCGCGTCACCACGACCAGCATAATCCACCAACGCGAGCCAAACCATCACATACGACCATACCTATTGGAAAACTCGGGATCCCGTCCGCTCTCCCAGCGATAAACCAATAAGGGCCGGACTAGTAGTTGGGTGGGTGACCACCAGCGAATCCCCGGTGTTGTATGTTTTGCATTTTGCAAGTGGCTAGCAGACTTGGAAGGTGGGTAAGGGCTTCCACTGCTCCACATTCACATGGAACCTAGATGTATGGCTAAGTTCATAGTCATTGACAACAGCCGTTCAGTTTTGCAATCTCCCGAATGTAGCAAGACGTGATGGCATGGTGGCATTGTCTGTGTACTCTGTAGGCCAAGCAGCCACAGCTGGAAGCGCTAATGGTGATTTTCATCTGTGTTGGCGAGCGTGGTGTCAACATCGTGATCGTAAACATTAGCTAAAAAGGCATCATTAGCTCGCTTGAAGCACGAACAGTAGCGTAAGTAACCACCATGCATTGCTATCCGAGCCGATGAACGTCTGCATATGTCTACCATTTCCACAGCTATACGAGTAGCGTGATCCAGGAAGTTTCGCCAAGGCAGCGGGCTCTACCTGTCCAGTTCAGCAAGAGAGTAGTGGATCTACAATATTTTGATTCGTCACGTAATGTTTCCTTAACAAGATGCTGAAAATATGTGGAAAGTTGTCATGTATTGTCGACTGTTGAGCCGTGGTATTCCTATGCATCGCCGTTCTCTTGATCAGCTAGGATCAGCCACCATAATGATGGGATGCGTTGCCATGTCAGATATCAAGATGGCGCCGCCGCCGCCGTCGGCATAGCCATTGCCGTCGTCTCTGCCGCCGGCATCAGTAAAGCTGGTGGGCGCTTACTCATGACGACGGTTTTAGGCCTCCATCAAGCATCTGACGCACCGCCAGCTCGGCTCCCACGACGTTCCAGAGGTACCAACCTAAAGGGAGGAAGGCATCCGGGAACCTCCTCTAATCTCTTCTGCAGTGAGTTACCATTGGTGTTTCTTCCATCGTTTGGCATCGTGCTACACATTGTGGCAGGCAGGACTTTGAAAAGCGAACCTGCTAACGACTGGATCAGCGCTTGATAAGCAACGCTTAGCGAAGACCCAGCGGTGTACATCTTGGTTTTGACCTGATGAGACAGTAGCGTGGGCAATTATGAACCTATACTCTGTCTATGTTCACAACACAATTGAGCCTCAGGTGTGTATAAGGATTGAAAGCAGAAGCTCACACTCATCAACCTGCACTGGATCGTGCAAACTGATAAATCGAGCTTTACAGACACTGTCACCCCAAGATGTGCATGAGATCGTCTCTGCTCTGGAATGTTGGCCCCCTTGGAAAGCCCCAGCGCGACTCCAGTGGGATCGGGCCGGTGGCCGCACCGCCCAGTCCTGCTGTCGGTCGGGAATGGAAGGGCCAGTGTCCGTTGACGTTTTGAAAGACAATTGTCTCGGCTGTTGGTCTTGACATCTCGTCGTTGCCCCAGATCTTCTGGCCCTGCGCCGCAGAACCGACAGGGGATGCCGCTGCCTGCCATGTCCTCCTGAGCAGAGTTTCGATCGATTTCATTCTCATGCGACAATGATTCACCCATAACCGGCAAAGATCTCGCTGAGCGTACGACGGCGGTACATTGAGGCGGAATGTGATTACGAACTTGCGTGCCCGGATATGCCTGGCTTTTCAGTCACGGCGGTTTCTGGGAGGTCATCGGACTCCTTTCGATTGACTTTATCCAAGAGACAACCTAAGAGCAGGATCTCAACTTTGAAGATATAAAGAGCGTCCTATGTTCAGCACCCTACAGCAATGCCAAACTACAGCTCAGCTCAATCACACTACATCACTCCACATCTCCAACCGATCCAAGTAAACAAACACCAAAATCTTGTCACCATGAAGGCCTGTGTCATCGCTACTCTCGTTGGTGCCGCCATGTCGGCCCCCGCCATGCGGACCTCCATGGACATGAAGCCCGCGGCGCCCATGATGGAAATGTCCAACAGCCGGCCTATGGACATGGACATGGGATCCTCCACACCCGCCATGAGGAACACCATGAACATGAAGGACGCCTCGTCGTCAATGGGCATGGCTAAGCGTGAGCGCATGGAGATGGGCAACATGGCTGCGACAATGAAGAAGACTAAGGGCATGAAGATGGGTTCCATGGCCCCGGCCATGAAGAACGGCATGGTCACGAGGTCTACCATGGACATGGCCAACCGCGACTCGGCGACCAAGGGTATGGAAAAGAACAAGGACGTGGACGCTATTGTCGCGGCCATGCTGATGGAGATGGCTCACCGCCGTCCCGTGGCGGGCATGGTCCGCCGCCAGTCTGAGGAGGAATTCCAGGCAGTTGTGGAGGAGTGCAAGATGAAGCTGGCGAGCGGTGGTAAGTACTCACCAGCAAACACTCCATTACGCTTTACTGAACCGAGTCTAGAAATCACCTCTCTCGACAACTGTGTTCTCGACACCCTCGGTATCAACCGCCGCCAGGTCACTGGTGACCAGGATCAGCTGGCTCAGATCACCAAGGAGTGCAATGAAAAGACCCCCAACGGTAAATCAACTCGAATCCAAGGCGTTCACTGTTTCAAGTACTGACGATCCTCGTGTTGCAGACCAGGCTGCTATCTACGTCTGTCTGCTGCAGGCCGCCCAGAGCTTGATCATCACTGACTGATAAACGCCATTGAGCTCCTCCCCCTCCCAGCTGGTATGGGCAAAATGTTGCGATATTGATGATGTGGCACCCGTTTGGGGATCATGAGATGTACCGGCTTGTTGGATGGATAACTACTGTAGCTCAAAAGTAAAGCGGCTACGAATCCATTTTTTGTCGGCTACAGAGCCCATACGCTTATGTCGATGGCCTAGTTGTCCGTGACATGTACCGATTAAGTAAATATACTCGTTTGCCAAGATGCAACAGTAATCAGTAATCGGGATATCCAATGCCATACACTAGGATCTCGCTCTCAAAGTCAAACTCGGGTCTTAACACGACCCTCTTCGCAAAGACACACAAATCGCCATGAGCATTGTATTCCCTATCAACGTCTTGTATTCACAAGGTCGAAGGGACGTATGCCATCGAATCCCTGTTTGTTCCCTGTCTGCGCAACACGCCGTCACGACAGCTACATTTCACATGTGCGGGAACAAGACACATTTGGAGACAGGACCAGTGCTAAGAATAAAGCACAACTTGATCGAAACAGACCCAGGTAGTAATGAATGATAGCCCCAACTCCGTAATTATCGCCAACCATGCAATGCGGCCCAAGGCCATTGCTATGTACAGCACCTAGGCTGCGAACACGGCCCTAGCGAGACCCTCGAATGACCGATAACGCAAGCCACTAGACCATCACACATCCCATATTACTCGTTCAACCAGCCCTATGCACACGGCAGCAGCCGCCACTCTTCATGCTTCAAATACCGCACCGCCAGTCCGCCGCCCGATTGTTTTGAAACTCTTATAGGCTCCATCGTTGCCCATGATGTCGAACCTGTTCGAGCCCATGGCATCCTGAGAGTAGCCCGAAAAGTAGTATCCGACGATGACAACGAGGTAGGAAAGCAGTAGGATGCTTCCCTTGAAATAGTTGCTCTTACCCTCACCGTACATGTAGCTGAGGAGGAAGACGCAGAGAATTACGAGGACCATATCCCACTCGGGGAATAGCAACGCAAATGTATACCGCTCGGGGTCTTCGCTGCTAGGCAGATCCATGGGGTAGAAGGCTGAGAAGAAGACAAGCGCGGGGACTTGCAGCAAGCAAACCTGAAGCGCGTACGCTGAACCAATTTCCATGGACAGGGCAATGTTTCCGTTCATGGCGAAAGAGATGGCGTTCTACACTGATCAGCACATGACATGAAAATTTGAAGCGTTGAAACGTACCAAGAACTCAGTGGTGTTGGGGACCAGGGCAAACAAGGTAATACCGAGGAACTTCTCGTCAATGGCGAAACCTTCCAAAACGACATCGACCGTGTCTACCAGAATTTCGGCCACAATGGCGTACAACACTGTGGCGCCCATGAGTACGATTGAACTCTTGAGACGACTCCAGTTTGGAGCGTCATGCCCACCGTGGGCGTTACCGCTGACAGCAGCAGCAGCCGGATCCTCGACCTCCGGGAACGGGGCAGCGCGGCTTGTTGCAGGGCGTGGAGTTGTGGGCACAGTGTTAGTCGGCAAGCCCGAGCCTCGACGAGGAAGACGGGCATCCCGGGCCGCGAACGTGGCAGCAGTGGCAGCAATTTCGGCGACTTCACGAGCCAGGGCGTTGTTGTCAATCTCTGAAAGACCAGAGAGGTGCATGCCAGCGCGGACATCGCTGCCGCTAACCTTAGGAGGGACTTGGTGCGGAAGGCCGGATGCTCCATTCGCAGAGCCAGTTGTCAATGTAGAGCCCTGACGCGTGATGTCCTCTGACCTAGGCTGCAGTCCAACTTGCTTTTGTGTGTGACCGAGAATGCGCTTATACAAGTGCGAATCTCGAATATCGGCGCTCGAGCTGCCAGGCGCCTCGTGGAACGAGTGGGGAACGGAAGGTCGTGTAGATGTTTGTGTGGGGGGTTCATCATGCTTCTTCTCGTCCAGCTGATCTTTCCAAATGATGGCGGCATGTGTCCGGAGGGTGAACCAAAGACCTACGATATAGGATAGGAACAGCAGACAGGCGCAGAAGTAGCAGAAGGGACGCACCGCCTCCAGGTAGAAGCGATCGTTCAGGGCTGGTGTTTGCGAGAAGTAGCACCTTCGACAGTCCCGGCTGTCTCCTTGGGCGACAGCCTGACTGCCGTCGTAGTCCAAGCAGTCAAGACAATTCAGCTCGTGCGTGCCATAAATTTGGTAAAAGAGAGTTGGTCCAAATGCGCCAATGACGGCAAACAGAAGCATAGTGGATGTGACACCAGCCGACTTGGCGTTAAACCGTTGAGTCTTGCGCTTGATGGCACCGAAGCACATGGAAAGTCCCGGGAGGAAGAGGATGCCCGCAAAGATGCTGCCCACGATGCTGCCCTCTACAAGTTGCCCTTTGCCTTGCTTCAGGGCAACGCAGTAGAGGAAGACCTCGACAATGGTGGAAAAGAACGCGTTGATTGCAGCACCCAGACCCATGGACGACTGTGCTGAGATGGAGGCGACAGCTTGGCCAATGAAGTATGCCAGAGGGATGATGGACAGCAGACCCATGACGAACAGGAAAGCAGGCGAGGTAATAAAGATGTCCATGTGTAGCATATTTTCGAGGACGGCCCAGTCCAGTATGACAAAAACAACAACGCCCATGAGATTGATGAGGAAGATGTTAGTGCCATCAACGGTGTACTTCCAGTATCGGGTTCCCACAGCACGATAAGTGCACAGAAGGATCGATGCGTTTTGTCCGTTGGAAAGCCGGGCGTAGCTGACGTCCGAGTCGAAAGACAGCGCGAGAGGGTGGCGTCGGAGATGATCGAAGAGCAGCATCGTGACCTTGCCCATCGGGATGGTGAAGACGAAGAACCAGCAGATTAGAGACACGATAATCAAAGATGGCGTCAGGAGGAAGTAGAAGAACAGGAAGAAGGTCACGCGGCCTATGTTCCACTGTCCACGACCGAATAGTCGCCTCTTCAGTCTGGGAGGTGTTTGGCTCCTTTCGCCCCGACGGGAACGACCGAGGAGGCTGTCGGTCTCACTGAGCTCGGAATCAATACTCCGTCGTGAACGTCCAACGATGGATCGATTGCGCTCCGGGCCGAAGAACAGTCGTCCATACTCAAGGTCGCCGCTTTGCCACTGCTCGTACTCGGAGATGCTCCGCCCTTCGCCTTGGTCCTCGTCCAGGTAGGCATCGTCCTGTTCCAGGCGTACGTACTTGCCGAAGGGGTAGAACAGGTAGCCAGCAAGACCCCATAGGACTCGCCCATATTCTCTACCGCTGGGTGTGGCGGCAAAGAAGAAACAAACGAGGGCGCCGAGGGCCGCGAATGTTGCCATCCACCAGCCGAAAAGGATGGTCCAGAGTAGGTTGAAGAAGACCAACCAGGAGCTGACCTTGAGACCAGGAGAAGAGTGGATATCTCCCTCTGCCGTTTTTTGCACAGACCGGTCTTTCTTGTACAGCGCAGGCTTCCAGAGTCGGATGCCAAAGGGGTGCGTTTCGTTGATAGCCTGCTGCCGATCCTTGAGCGTGAAGCTCTCGGCATCACTGATGTCTCCATCCGACTCGCATTCAATGTCTTCTTCAGGAGCCGCTTCGCTTGCATCATCAGACATCTCTTCAGCGGGCTCGTCCTCGGCGCGAGGTGTCTCGGGTTGCTCGTCGTCGTTTTCTTCTGGCTCGCTTCGCGAGGACTGGACTCTTGATAAGGTATTGCCTAGCTGGGGCCTCCTGCGGGTGCTGTAGCTTTGCTGGTGATGATGTTCCCGGTGGCGTTCGGCAGCATCTGCAGCAACCTCATCAAGATCGTCCTCAGTCGAGAAGACTTCACCTCGGTGGGGAGCAGCAGGGTTGGTCGGTCGGCGCGGCATCGGGGGCTTTCGCGTTCGTGAAGCCTTGACACGGTCGGGTCCCAACATGGGAGATCGTGCAGGTTGAATCGATCGCGAGTGGGCTCGGTCGTGGGCTGAGGAGTCTCCAGCGTATTGCGGTGTTAGGCTTTGGCTGCTTTGCATGGAGCCTGGAGAAGCAAGAAAAAAAGATTGTTAGCTGAGCAACAGGGTTACGCGCGGCTTCGGGTCAAGCTGAGATAGCACGGCTTGGGGTCGGGCTCGGCGTCCGCCCCCGGATCCAGTGGAACATGTCAAGTGGCGCCGGTTAAGAGAATGGAAGCTGAAGACGTACCATAGCCAGCTTCAGGGCGCCGCCTGACCGTCTCAGTGGACTGGAAAGATTGGAAGCTCTCAGATAAACCCTCGTCACGGCCAGCGCCGTAAGATTCGTATCTAGTTGGACGCCTTGTGTCTGTGGGCGAAGTGTTGGACGACTCGCCCTGGTTGGAGGGCGTTCCTGACCTGTCAGAGGGATCCATGATGGCGCGAAGTTGAGCTGAATCGGTAGAATCGAGTCAGTTTGCTGCATGCAGCACGCGGCGCGAGGGTTGTGGAAATGCTGTGACCGGTGTCGCCGTAGGTCGTAACCTCACAAATTCAGCGTGGCAAGGTTGCTTGGTGCATGGCAGAAACCGCTGGGTGCAAGGTTGCGTGTCGAGCCGTCGTCGATAGGTTGTTCGTGCCGTGGTGCTGTGGAACGCACAGCTTTTTGGGTGCGGTTGACAAGAGCGTGATGTGAGCCGGTAGGTGGAGAGGGGCAAGAATATTATCGCAACCCGAGCTGGGGGAGGAAGAGGTAAACAAGCTGGCCAGCCGGAGGCAGCTTGAAGCTCGAGCTTCGGGAATTAGTAGGTAAACAGAATGACAGGGTCTGAGAGCTGAAAAAGCCGAGGGGGGGGGGGGGGGGTGGTTTGATGTTGGGTCAGGTCGGGCAGGAGGCAGATGGGTAAAGTAGAGAGGGGCCGTTGTACCAGGCACGTCCTGTCGGCTTGTCGCAAAAGCACGTCAGGTCAGGTGTTGGCACAAAGATGGGAGAGACATGGAGATGTGACGGAGAGACATGAGGAGAGGCGCCTGATGAGGTTCATTCCTGCTATGGCTCTTGGCCTTTGCAGTTGGCCTTCAAAGCCAAGGGAAGGTAAGACCTAGTGTTGTTAGGCTGAGCTTCCCTCGCATCTTCAGTGCTCTCTGCTCCATTCCTTCCCCAGACTCGTGGCATCGGGCCCCACGGCTGTTCATCCATCTGCTCCCTCCCCCCTCCCTCATCCTCATAGTCACCATCTACTGAGTCTGCCGACTGTAGCGATGGCGCACCACTGCCGGCCGGTCCGATGATTGCAGGCCCCCGATCATCTGCTCATCAAGAAGCATCCGTAAGCCGACCGAGAGACACCAAGCCGTGACGAGGGGCTCAGCCTGCATCTGAATGGTCATGTTGGCCATTTCGGTAACACCCCTTCTGCTCACCCATCTCCACCAAGGTGGCATCATGAGGCGTGATTGGCAATATTCTCTCCTCCGTTCGACTTACTAGTGCCGGATGATTCTTAGTGGTAGCGGTGCCAGCCGCGACTTGCGATCCCTGGATCCACGCCGATGAACAGCCTGTGAACGTGTACCTTGTAGGCTCTACTACTAGGGTCCCTCCTTTGGGAGTCCCACCCACCGTCCATCCGTTGCCGAGTTTTCGATCAGGAGGGCGCTTTTCCGATTCGAGAAGACGTCACTGTGCATCCCTGTCGATGCACAAGACATGCTCTGGGCACTGAGGGCAACAGTGCAGTACACCGTACCTAGGTGGGATGCGATGCATGGCTGGCTAGTGCTTTGCACCTGAGCGGCAGGCGGTGAACCCCCACAGAACTGACGCCTCCTGCTTATCTAAGAAATCCATATGTACTACATTATAAGCAGCACGTGACCTGGAAGGCCACCCCGGACGCGTACCCAATGGCTTGCCTGAGCTGTGACAGCGACAGCGGTGCACTACAGCCAGCCTTGCCTAGCACATCGTTCTGTTCCCGATACTCACCTCATCACGATAACCAGACCCGACGACTTCCGCCATTACCAACCATCATCTTCGCCCCGTTGATCGTTTCTACACAGCCGAAATCACAGCAACAGACTACCCTTCAAGCGCCCCCCGGGCACCAACGTCATCATGGCGCTCGACAGCTACTACCAGAACAAGATTGAGGCGATGAAGCTTGAGATCCTCAAGGGCCAAGCTGTCCTCCGCCGTCTTGAAGCCCAAAGAAACGACTACAACTCTAGGGTGCGTTTGTTGAGGGAAGAGCTCGGTCTGCTACAACAACCAGGTTCCTATGTCGGCGAGGTGGTCAAAGTCATGGGCACGAAGAAGGTCCTCGTCAAGGTGCATCCTGAAGGCAAATATGGTATGCATCACTGTCTCCCGACCGTCCAGGATCTGTCCTCATTCTGATAATCCTTGCGTAGTTGTCGATATCGCCGACTCTGTCGACGTCACCAAGCTCACCGTCGGCAAGCGAGTCACTCTCCTCTCCGACAGCTACAAGCTCGAAAAGATGCTGCCCTCCTCCGTCGACCCTCTGGTCTCCCTCATGATGGTTGAGAAGGTGCCCGACAGCACCTACGACATGATCGGCGGTCTCGACCAGCAGATCAAGGAAATCAAAGAAGTCATCGAGCTCGGCCTCAAGCACCCCGAGCTCTTCGAGTCCCTCGGCATTGCCCAACCAAAGGGCGTTCTCCTCTACGGCCCCCCTGGCACGGGCAAGACGTTACTCGCTCGTGCCGTCGCCCACCACACCGACTGCAAGTTTATCCGTGTCTCGGGCTCCGAGCTCGTGCAGAAATACATCGGCGAAGGCTCTCGTATGGTCCGCGAGCTCTTCGTCATGGCCCGCGAGCACGCGCCCTCGATCATCTTCATGGACGAGATTGATTCGATCGGCTCCTCCCGCGTCGAGGGCTCCTCGGGCGGCGACTCGGAGGTCCAGCGCACCATGCTCGAGCTCCTCAACCAGCTCGACGGCTTCGAGCCCACCAAGAACATCAAGATCATCATGGCCACCAACCGCCTCGACATTCTCGACCCCGCCCTCCTCCGACCTGGCCGCATCGACCGCAAAATCGAGTTTCCCCCGCCATCCGTCGAGGCCCGCGCCGACATTCTCCGCATCCACTCGCGCAAAATGAACCTCACTCGCGGTATCAACCTCACCAAGGTCGCCGAGAAGATGAACGGCTGCTCCGGCGCCGAGCTCAAGGGTGTCTGCACCGAGGCCGGCATGTACGCCCTCCGCGAGCGCCGCGTCCACGTCACGCAGGAGGACTTTGAGCTCGCCACCGCCAAGATCCTCAACAAGCACGACGACAAGGAGGTTTCCTTGGGCAAGCTGTGGAAGTAGAGGGAAGACAACGACAATGGCCTCTTTGTTTGGTCACGTTGGGGATGGGGAACTGTTTGCTTTTTCTTTACCTTTCCGGCCCACGGGCTGCTCTCGACAAGACACAACGCGCTTGGGAAGGGGGGTTGATGCGGCGTTGTTCGGGCAGGGTGGAAAGCAAGGGCAGCGAGCGGTGACAGCGCCTCGGAATGCGCGGCGGCGAGCAGGCGTTGATGCGCGCTGTATGCTAATATGTATCAAAATAGAGCATGGACATGACCCGACCTTGGCCTTGAAGCATCCCCTTTGCATGTCTACGTGAATGTTCTCACCTCGCACCTGTGTTCGTACACATTACTCAGTATTGATCACCTGCCGATGCTTCATCATATGGGGCATATCATCCATTCATTGCACGCGTTACGCTACCTACACCTACGCGTCATGGTCGCATTCTCTCAACCTTACTCGCCTTAAGTAGGCACCTAGGATACTACGTCCGACGCAGGCCTGTCTGCCGTCTCGCTCCCTTGGCGCACGACTTTGATGGGTGGAACGCGGCGCGTGCACTACGGACACCGTCCAAACGCCAGCCATGCAGACGCCCTTCGATTTCCCCATCGCTCGCTACTGATGCAATATATCCGGCCAAAATCAGCTGCGCCGCTGGTGCTGGAGGCTACCGCTTCGGGCTCTGCTCCTGCCGCCGGTTGCCGCACCCACGCTTACCCCCTCATGTAATCTGCAGATGTACTCCAATATGGTCTCGTAACACAGAACAAACTGGCGGAGACTCTGGACCATGCTGAGTCGCTGGCTACGGAAGTCCTCCACAGTCTCAGCAATGAGGTCGATCGTGTCATCTCCCACCCACGCCGTGTTGAGTGAGGGGCCCTCCCAAGCTGGCTTGCCCTCTGGGCTTGAGCGACTCGACCGCTGAGGGGACGTGGCAAAGTTGAACGCCTTTTCTTGGGCCGTCTTCGGTGACACCGCTTCCTCTACTTGGCGCTCTCCGCTCATCTTGATGTCGCCGTCCGAATCGCGCTTGCGAACCGGTTTCAAGGTCGTCCGCGCCAGCCGCTGCCGTTTGAGCATGTCGATCACGCTGTCCACGGTGCAAAAAGTTCCAGTGCGACCGCACCCGGCCGAGCAGTGCACCAGCATTGGTCGCGCCTGTGCATCAGCTTCCGGCTCGTCGTACCAAGCCATCGGCGGATCTGGCGATGCGCGAGGGCCAGTCACCGATGGCGTGTCTACAGGCAGAGCCGCGCGCTGCATGACATTGGCCAGTTCCACCAGACCGAGAAGGTGGGAAGGTTGAGCCGGTGCACCAAAATCAGGCCATGACGGGTAATGAAGATGCGTGATCTCACGAATTGGGGCAAATGGATGCGCTGCGTGTGACATGGCGAACTTGCGGACGATGACGTAGGGCGAGTCGCTGGATGATGTGGAAGCCGGGGCCGGTGTTGCGCCTTCCAGCGACGTCGTAGATGTCGTCGTATTTGCCCTTCTTCGGCCAATGTCTGCTGACGGTTGAGATGTCGTCTGTGCATGTGAACCAGAGCGATGCTTGTCAATGTCAAGGGAGACTTTCTTCTCAGACAGAAGCCTGAGCTTGGTGTGACCAAATTCGTTGCCTTTCCAATATGGATGGCACTTGAGTTGGCCACCTTCGGACTCGGCTGTTAACATAACGATGACCCGAATGTCTTGATCCCAAATCACGGACCAGAAGTCCTGCAGCATGTTAGTCAAGGCATTCGTCAGTTTATCACAGGAGCAAAAAAGAAAAAAAAAAACCAACCTCGTAAGTGGCAGGTAGAGGCCCTTGAGCCGCAATGTATCGCTTGTTGCTTCTCGACGCCTTGATATGACTGGCGTTGACATAATCGCAAGCTCCACTCTCTCGGCCCTGCAGCTTAACGCGAGAATGGTCAAAGGGCAAAATGTCCTTGTAGCGATTCTTGACACCCTTCTCGATACCTGAAAGTTGGACTGGAATCGTACCCATTGATTTGGACTCCGGGTTAAAGACGGAATAGGCCTTCTTCATGCGTGATTGCTCATCCTTTTCAATGTGCAAGAATTTTTCCGACACTTGTTTGCCGTGATCGCCAATGGTGGATGCGTCTCGGAGCCAGCGTGGAAGTGAAGGAGAGTCCAAGCCTTTGGGTCGCGCAATTTCGAGCTGCCCGACTCCGTCTGCGAGATCCATATTTTGTCTGATATTCGAAAAAAACGGATTGGGGTTATTTGATGCGTTCGGTAGCATGACGCCTCCAATGACGGGCAGGATACCTGCGTTGCCACCACTGTTGTTGCCGAGGCGTCCAGAGCCGTCGTCGATGCCGGTTGGAGCGCCGTTTTCGACAAAGTCAGGGTATGCTTCAGAAAACGCTTTAAAACCGCCTCGCAAGATAAACATGCCACCTTGGTAGCCTTCGGCGACAAACTTCTTAACCATATTGACGCAAGACATGGCGTCGCGCTTTTCTGAAGAGTGCGAATCGTATACGACTAGGTTTTGCGTGGATGCCCACTTCGTGAATTGCTCTTTGTCTTCGGGATTCTGAAACGTTTGTTGCAGCTTCGTAAGATTAAAGGTCGCTCGCTTTAACAACGTGGTAGGCGTGCAAAGATTGAGAGCACTCTTTACTCGCGCATGCAGATATTGTTGAGACACCCTCAAGTCTAGCAACAGCAGGTCAGTGTCTCTGGTTTGCGATTCCAACAGAGACTTCAGATGCGAGGGACTGATCAGAGATGGTCCATGTTCCATGTCGGCAGGTAACGTCTCGGCTCGCTGGTGCGATCTGCCCAGGACAGATGGTGTCGGCGGATCTGGCCTACTGTTCGGAATAGACAGTCTCGGGTGGCGATCCTCAACAGAAGACAACATCGTCCTCCGTTCGAACGGGGATGCAGATTGCCGTGGAGACTCGGATCTGGGCATGCCCAAGATTGAGGGAGGCTGAATTGATGATTCCACGTCCGGCCTAGAATCGGACGACACATAGGCTGAATCGTGAGCGCTGGCCTGATCGACATCCATACGGCTTGCAGGTCGTTCTCTTGTCGTGCGGCTCGCTGGTGTTTCTGATATGCTATCGCTGGCGTGAGTATGCCATCTAGGAGGAGGACGAGGGCGAGCAGGAGCAGCACCAGTGTCGCCTGGTGTGGACGGTGCGCCAAAGTGCGAGGACGATAGGTTGAAGAAGCTTTCGCCGCGGTTCAGATCGGCCTGCCTTCTAAAGGCCTCGTAGTCTGGGTTCGCGTCGATAGTTACCTGTCTCGGGAGGGCGGCAGTGAAAGACTTGACCGACGAGGTAGGGGGGCTCCAGTTATCGCGAGGCAGGAGTGAGCTGTCCCTACCGTCGTTGGACGACTCGGCAGGCGCCAAGCCAAAGTAATTGGGACTCGTAGCTCGCGCATCTGCAATTCTGCCGGGAGAGAGCCGCGGCGGAGGAGGATAGGCTTGGCCAACGGAGAATGGCATCCTTGGAGAAGCGACGGGAGTAGAGGCCTTGGAGCCATGGGCAGATCGTTTGGCGTGTGAGTTGGAGCGGGAGTGAGCACGACCATGAGAGGACCGCGGCGCTCCTGATGATCTCGTTGTTGATGGGGTTTTCATTGCGTAGTGGACAGGCGCCCTTTCGCCGGTCTTGGACTCTGTCATAGTATGCGGTAAGGGGTAGGTAAGTACGTCGAGGACAGGCCGGATCTTTCGTCTACGCAGTCAAGAAACGGTTCAGAGTTGGCCACATTAAATTAGTCCATATTGCCGATGACTGTAGAACTGAGGCAATGGCGAGGTTGGTCTAGATGTGGCGGCGGATCCCTTTTTTTCCTCCTTCGGGATGATGTGGTGGCTAGATGGGGCGCAAGAGTTGACCGTGACGAAGGTGGCGAGCTTGGACCGGTGACGTCTACGTTGTCGACGAGTCGCCAACGTTGCGCAATGTTCTGAGCCGTATGAACAGAAGAAGGCCGAACCGTGAGTGGTGCCTGGTTGATCTCTTAGATGAGAGGCCAAGTGAGGGAAAGAGCCCTTGTGCGCCTTCCCAGACGTGAAAGCCAAAAGTAGGCAGGTTCAAAGGCTGATGATGGTGGTGGGAGAGGGGATGGGTTTTGGAAAGGCGGTCCAGGCAGGTAACGCCAGGGCGGTGACAGAGCGGACCCGTAGTGCCGGTCCTATGAGACACACGAGTCCAGGAGGTGGAGATGAGATGGCAGCGGTTGAGCTCGTCGGCTGCGGAAGTATGGAAAGACTGCCTGTAAGATGAGGATAGGGAAGATATACAGCGACAATACTGTACAAGCGCTCCAAATGTTCGTCAGTGTCTATGCACAAGTGAACGAAGAGTCAACGTTGACGACAGCACGGCGGCGGTAGTCGGAGGTCGAAGGGGGGTGGGGGGGGGAGGGGAGGCCTGAATCTAAGGGGGGGAACAAGAGCCAAGGGGATGGATGGAGGGCTGTCCGATGAGGTCGTGTGCGTTCACTTTGGTCAGGATCAGCAGCGAGTCTGGGCGTTAAGGTGAGCGGGACCCTGACGCCTCCCTGGACTTTCCTGGCTGCCCTGACCTCAGACCTGTGCCAGACTTGGCTTGGCCCCTGCCCAGGGTGCCTTCGAGCCGCTTGAGAGTGGATGCTCTCCGTCGCTGGGCCACCTTTTTCCTCGGAGCAATTGGTTAACGAGGGGAACTGGGACGAGGCCCAGTGACGGCTGATGGGCGAAGAGGTGGAGGGGAGCGAGTGAGAGAGACAGAGTGAGAGAGGGATTCCCAGCAGTCGCGCATGGCCTTGCCATCGTGGCCTTTCATCGTCACGTTCCCAGGTGTAGACAAACCGCTCATGCCCATCGCTGCCAACTTGTTCAAGTTGTTCCTCGGTTAGGCGAGTCAGCGTAAATAGCAAGCCTGGCCATGGCAATATCAGGCACGCAAATGTCAAGCATAGATGAGCCAAGTCAAGGCATTGCTAGGTCGGATCAGGGCAGGTCAGGGTCAGTCACACACACATATACGCACAGTTCCGACGAGAGAAAAGGGGAGCACAACTCACCGCGTCTGAAGTGCGCAAAGCAGTGAACCGAAGCCAACAAGGCAGGATCGAGCGGCTGGCAAAGGTCGTGGAGCATCGACCAGCACCAAACAATGCAGGCAGTTGCTCACACAGGGTAGGATTGACAGGTGCACATGACGCCTGACCGCATGGGATGCTGATGGAATTGAGCAGAGTGGAAAACGAGAGAATCCCATGGCGTCATAGGATGCGCCGAACCTTGGAAATCCATGTCTCTGATTCTACATTTCAGGTGCTTGCTTCTCTTGGCCCTGTACTTATCCACACGCTTCTAGGCCCGCAACGCAGTTCAATGTCAGGTTCATCTGATCAGGGCAAGCAAGTCATTTTATCTAGGTCTGTACGTGCAGTATGGAACACAGACAGATCATTTTTCGATTTCTTTTCAAAGCGTCGAGAGACATTCAAGACACCAGACATTCCTTTCATTGCTACCAATACCTTACCCCAATGAGCTGGTGGTCCCATCGGATCTCACTGGTCCTTTCTACCCGAGTCTCGTGCGCCGCAATGACGTAGACAGTTCGTCCTCGTTGTTGCTCGTGCGCTCTGGCCATTTTAGCCCTCCTCCTACTGAGCAAAACTGCCCCCAGGTACCCGCGTCCCGAAGCTGACACCTACGTACGTCTGTCAGCGGACACCTGTGAACCTTAAGCTGCTAAATTTGGGGTTCCTCGTTGGTTCAATCCTATCCCGCCCCCAGAACCCAGGCAGCCTCCTTGTGTACCGAAAGCCGCGACATCATCTTGGGACACTGGCATTAGGCCCGGAAGTGAAACCCCCATTCATCGTCCCCTCTCCTGCCTGCCCCCTTTTCAAGACCCGTTGACGGCCAGGTCGCCAGGGTCCTCTGGCTTCTTGAACCGGACTCCACGGCACCAACGTGCTGTCTACCGTACGTGCCACGGCCACACTGTAGGCCCCCCCCAACCCCATTTACCCCACCCTGTCTGTAGATGATTTGGTCTTGCATCTCACATGCCCAGGGCTGCCACACCGATCTTCAGGTTCTAGACCCATGCCGACCGCTTGATCAGCGCTGATGCCGCCAAAAACAGCTCACATTGTACGCCCACTTTGCCAGCTATCCACAAGTCGCTACTCCTGATGCGAACTCTTGTTGGAACAGAACAGCTTCTTTATCACCCCCCTCTCATCTGGTGGTGACTGGCCACACCTGGCAACAAGTGACTCGACACAACGAGCAAACGATCCACGGATTGGTGTACGTGGGAGTGTTGGCCGTTCTCCGGGGTGCATCCCGGTCCCTGCCAGTCATCATCTCAACGTCACAATCCGATCATCAGTAAACCTTCCGGCCGGGTGCTGCCGCTGGTTTTTACACCTCAAGAAGAGACCACCTCGGTCGTCCCAGGTCTTACACGCTGCTACAAAATGCGTCTCACGGTCATGGCGACAGTCCGAGCCGCGCACGAGGCCAGGCTCGCGGCCGTTTGTTTTGAGACGAGCTCCCTGCCTTTCCATGGCTGGTTGCCCAGATGTGCCGGCGAGTCAGTGCCGGTAGGAGACCAGTGACTGGGCCACGAGTGACGGCTCATACCGAGAGGAGTTAGCAGCTAACTTCCTTCTTCGCCTACAGTGTCACCCCCGGCTGGGCGCTTGTCGTTCTTTTTTTTTTTTCATCTTTGAAGTCAAAGAACGGCGCTCGATCTATTATGGAAACGCCTGGCGGCAGTGAAGGACTGCCGGGCATCCCTAAACTATTAGGTTTGTCTTCATGGTCTGAAGCATCGGTCGGGACAACGAGCCTTCATAACGATGTTCTGCAGACTCATCTTGTACTAGCGTGTTGCAAAGTGCCGGACTCGTAGTCCGTCGGACTGAACTTCTGTCTGGCAGGTTGCGCCGTCGAACCCGCAATTGATGGCGCTGCGCCTGAACAGTAATAGCTGCCCCTTAAGCTCCGTGCCAAACAAAGAATGCGTTGATCCAAAGCCAAGCGGCTCACGACCGCCGTTTCGAGTCGCGAAGGGAAGCTGTGGTCGTCATTGACTCAGGTCAGGCCTTCGAACTCCATGCGCGGGGCGGCAAGGTTTCGCTGCACCACCTGACCCCCCGCTGCGAGGTTGTTATAGGTCCGGCGACCGAGATACGCGTGGAACACGCAATGCGCTACCAGCGGTGAGGCATGGCGGCCAGAGTTGAACCGATCCAGTACCTTGACGGACGAACCAAGAATTTACTTACAAGCAAGCCCCTTGCCATGCATGTACAGTCAGCAGCCGGAACCCATGAGCACGTACCGTAGAGCAGGGCTCAGCCTTATGTATTCATGCAAGCAAGAAGCGACCAGGGACAGCGTCCGGCGCGAGTCATCGCAGCGGTTCACAAGCAGGCCGCTTGTGTAACAAACGATTCACGCAAATATCTTCATCACGCTTGAAGGGAATCAGAGGGCCGGTAGCAAGTCAAGCTCGGGTGACGTGGATTCAATCCATGGTTGGAAGGGCCGGCTCATCAAACCCCACTGCGATGCAGCGGGAACAGAAGGGGACTCACAAAGTGTCTCGATTCCAAGTGATGTGCTATAGACCACCTCACTCAGGGAAAGCAACACCTGACATCTGGCAAATCGCAACTGTCAGATCAGGATCAGTGATTCTGCCATTTCTGTTCTCCATTGCTGACAACGCCTTCACCCTCATCTGTTCAGTGTCAAATGCACGTGATCTTGCATCTTAACGGAAGCGCCCGATGAGATCCCCGGACCGCCAGATCAGAGTGGATGTCGACAGATGGGGCAAGCATGACACCACGGGACCTTTCTGCAGGAGGCAGGTCTAGCAGTTCTGTCGCACAAATAAGCTTCGTAGTATCAAAACCCCTCCACCCGCTTGAAGCGGGTTACAAGCGATTCGAGGCAAGCAGGGCGTCACACCGTCCACTGAAATCCACGTTGCTGGGCCGGCGCACAGAAGAAGTACTGGAGGCTCCGAAGCGAAGCATCCGTTATCTGGTGTTTGAACGAGCAGCAGCGTTTCTTTGTCTTGTCTTACCAGATGGCAGTGGCAGCTGCCTGGGCTGCCCTGGTCCTTCCAGGGACATTTCAGGGCGGAGCGCTAGCGTTGTCACAGGGCATGGCGCGATGGGTACGGTGTGTCTGTCTGTCTCTGTAAGCAGACCGAGCAGACAAATGGAGGGCAGGTGTAGTCCGCATCCAGGGAACTGGAAGCTTCCGTCATTCCTTCCTTCGCTCCCGCGTCCCACACCAACCAGCATACCCATCCCCCAGCCTCCACTTCTTCACAACTGGTGTCTGAATCACCCCTCGACACCCGATCACCGTTGCAGCCAGCCTTCGTTTCCACTTCGCATCTTCCTTGCCCTTATGCCGACCCTTTCAGAGCCCCATCCTGACTGCGAGCCTGGCTATTGACGACTTATTCTTCCATTATTCATTTGGTCACTCGCTTTGAAATCATCCATTTCGGTGCGGATCGGGTGCATCTCTCGTTTGCCCGACGATCCTCACCGAGTCCCCTTGTTGTTCTGCCCCAGTCCGTCCACGACGACCATCGCAGCCAGGATAAACATACCTACCTATACGCACAGATCGGGGGAAAGTCCGGA